TTAAAATAAACATTTCATGCTTTACACATTTAATCATAAACTTTATAAAATCCAATGTATGTAGAGAATTTATATATCGATTTATAAAAGATCAAAAATACTAGTAGCAAATGGATGTTGAATCGTCGATGGATTTCAACCTAGATAAATCGAGGTTAATATTTATTCGTCTAGATACCTAAGTACCATTTACTTGACGAAATCCCAATAATCTGACAGAAGTCCAATGCTGCTATTTTGGATTATACAAATTGAAATAGTACATGTTGCACCTCAACAGGTGTCAAATATCGAATTTACTTAAACTCGAATCACTTCAAGAAGATTTTATTATAATTTTCTCATCATTTTTCTTATCGACTAGGTTTTGAATTATAGAAGAAAATAGTGCAATTTTTTTTAGTTACACGGTACCATTTTCGATGATGTTAACCCATCGAGTCATAGATTTCTTCCAGCTTATAGATTATTTGAAAACAGGATAGTACTCTATATAACTTTTAATCCCAATATTATATATATGTATACATATACAGAGAGATATATATAGAGATTATATATATATATGTATACATATACATATATATATAGATAGATATATAAAGAGATTATATGTATATGTATACATATACATATATATATAGATATATAAAGAGATTATATGTATATGTATACATATTAATATATATATATATTAATATATACGATTTAATATATATATATATATATATATATATATATATATATATATAGAGAGAGAGAGAGAGAGAGAGAGATTATATATATATATGTATACATATACATATATATATATATATATATATATATATATATATATACATATATATACATATATATAGAGAAGATCAATGAACTGTTTGATCTTCTACGTTTGGATAGTATCTTTGAAACGATATCGAAAGCCGATACAACAGTGCCTTCGCTATTCAAAGTGGAATCGCCTTCTAGCTTCAATTACGTTCCATTCTCGTCGAACATATTTTTGAAAGGAGCAAATTTTTTATATAACTCGAAATCGTTATCAATCTTACGATAATTTTTCGATATGAAAAGATAATTCCTATTAAAACTCGATTAAGCTCCCATCTTTTTCTTTTTCTCCTAGAATCTTTCTTGCGAAGCAAGGATCAGATATACGTCATATCGAGAAGTTTCTTCCATCGGTAGGCCATTAATATCGCGATGCGTAACGTCAATGCCGGCGCGCCTCGACGTATATTTTTCTAGAACTGCCAAAAGTTGAGACAACAAGGGTTGGCAGACGAGGAATAGGGTCGGTTTGTGAGAAGATGCGAGCGAACCTACTCCGGTTCGCGAAAGATCAACGGAGTAGCCGATAGAAAAGGAGTATGAGGAGAGAGAAAAAGAGAAAGAGAGAGAGAGAGAGAGAGAGAGGGATGAGAGAACAAGTATCGTCGGGCAACAATGCATTATTTAAATTTTAAAAGCGTTTCAAAGTTTTCCCTTAATTTTGCCGTCTAGTTAACCAATGCCCGTTCTACACCTGCATAGGTAAATCGTGGCTGAGGGAGCGAGAGGGTAAGAGGGGAGATGCCGACGCGGAGATGGAAGCAGGTTGACAGATTGACGTTTGGTCGCGCCCGTTCAGATCCTGCTGATGAATATTTTAGGTTTCTAGCTTCGCCTGTCAGTCGTCGGTGAAACATAGAACGAGAAAGAGAGATGGATGGATAGATAGATAGATAGCTAGAAAGAGAGATAGAAAGAGAGGAAGAGAAAAGGCGAAAAGGATAAAACACATGTGAGTGAGAAGATAGGACGCGCAATATGGAGAGGAAAAGAGAGGATTCTATGTATAGAGACGGTGCCCCGACGAACTTTCGACCCGAAATGACCCGAGAAAGATGCAGACGCTTCCACGACTACCCCCTCCTCTTTATCCTGTCCTGTCTCACCTTTACCATTCGTAATGATCGACCCTAATCCAGGCTATCAATCGATTGTACTATGAATACCAACAAATTACATATTTACATACATAAGGAAGATACACATACGTATGTATTTTCCCCACTTATTTTCATTTCTACGTTTCTGCGAAAATAAAATAAAAGAAAAAAGAAAAAAAAACTCTTCCGAATATCGTAGCTGTTTGACCACAATAGTAATTCTTAAAATACATAAGCTTTATTCATTTTTAATTTCTTCGTTCATTTTGTAATTATACACTTTTCTTAAAAATTTAACGTAACATCCACGTATTCTAAGGATACATTCAAACGTTCAATCTATGATTGCAAAAGTTGAATAAAATGACGATAAATTCGATGACAGTGTCGGAAGCGGAGAGTAGTTAAATCACAGGCGTAATGCACACACAACGGATGAAACTGACACCTACCGTGGACATCCATTGTCCATCATTGAATATTCATGGACCGTGAAAAGGGGTTGTCGAACGGGGGTCAGGTTCTTGAAGTGTTTGTTACATGTCGAAACTGACCGATAAATCTTTTATTTAAAACAATGACATTCGCGCGTACGTCATCGAATTCGAAATATTACTCTTTCTATTTTTGCTGTTAACATCTTTTTGATATCTACGAATATTTACGAATATTTCATTGATAGTTGTTATAAAACGATCAAAGATCGATTAGGACGTCGTTGACCTCGCATATTCAACGGTTACGCCACCGACGTATTTTTTTATAATTGACTAAAATAATTAATAATCACGAGCGAGAAGCTCGTGTTGGTCACTACGTTAATTGACAGAATGCAGAAATAGATACGGCAGTGCAAAGTGGATGGTATTTATTAGGCGCAATTGCGAAAGTTCAAAATATATCCAAATAGGAATCTTCAAATATTGAAAATTTTATTTCAAACATTTATATGTCACTTTGATATGTTTAACGAAATGTCGCGATATCGGCCATTCGAAGATAATTATTATTAATTCTATTGCATTCGATTTCGTTCGATTTCAAATGTCATGATTCCCACCGCGCATTTGTATTCTCGATCACATGACTTTTTGTCACGTGACATGCGTCACGTGTTAAACGTATACGTAGTTTATGTTGGATATGTGTAGCGGGTAACTTAATTTATACTTTTGTATATATTAATATAAAAAAAAAAATGATGGATAACATTGAGAATTCCAATTTATACGATCTTTTTCAAGAATCGTTGACAGACGATAATCTTTTTATGATGGGGACAAGTGTAGATACAGGTGAAGTAATAATATGAATTATCTAACTACGTGGATAATGATCATAACCTACAAATACATACTGGTAAAACAATGCCTATGTATATATATTAATGTACAGGTTTTGAATGGCAAGCAATCGATGAATGTCGAGAGAAGATAGATAAACGTCTTCATGTTGTTAAAGAACGTGGAAACATTTATTTCAACGTTCCTTGGCATCAATTTATCGATGTAATTTTTCACCGATATGCATTATGTGTTTTTATTTAAAGCTGTCAAATTTTTATTTTAGCATCATTTTGAATATACATTCTAGGTACAAAAAATGAGATCAATAGATAATATATTTATAGTTGGAAGTGTACTTAAACTTAATTTTGATGGAATCAATAAGGAAGCTGATTTAAAATTATGTACAAATGTTGTACATGATAATGTAAAATTGGAAAAGGCATTGAATGCGTGGAAAAGCATTACTCGATTCTCAGGAAAAATCTATCCAACTATTAACGAATATGAAGAGGCTCGAAAATGTGAGAAAATTTTTGATAGCTCAAAATCCACCGGTTCTAAAATCAGAAAAAGAGGACAAAATCCAGCTGATGCAGACCACAATGATGTTTTAAGATATAGAGTAACTTGTGAAAGAATAGGTAAACATAGCTTTGAATCTCCTGAAGCTGCTAGAATTATAGGAGGAGAACTACAAGATAAATATCATTGGCTAGTTGACTTATCTACATATCACTTGGAAATAATCTGTAAAATAATTAAAAGTAAACATTATTTTATCACTAAACTTGTTTAATTCTATGATACATTTAGATTACATTAAGTTATCTTTCTTTGTATGTAATTAGATGAGATAGTGACACAACTACGTACTACACATGAATCTAAACATCATAGAAATATTATGCATTTTGGACCAACTACGCTAAGAGCTACCATATGTTACAATTTATTAAGATTGGCACATCCAAATCCAGGAGATATCATAATTGATCCTATGTGTGGAAGTGGTTCTATTCCTATTGAAGTATGTTAATTTTAAACAACATTAAATACTATATACATTTATCATTCTACAAAATAAATATAAATTTTTAGGGAGGATTAGCCTATGAAAATTCATACATGTTATGTGGAGATAATCATACAAAGGCTGTGCTAAGATCAAAATCTAATATAAATATCTCATGTTTTAAGTCTAAAGTTGATCTAACACAATGGAGTGTTACTTATTTACCACTCTTAAACTCTTCCATTGATATTGTTGTGACTGATATGGTATCTATAAATATTATTTTTTTCTGCATTATTATGAATAATGAAATTCAGAGATACACTAAACATATTTTGTAGCCTTTTGGGAAACGCAGTGGCAAAATGTCAGACAACAGAGTGCTTTATAAAGAGTTCTTACTGCAATTAGGTCGAGTTGTGAGACCTACTACTGGTCGATTAGTATTATTAACATATGATAGACGTAGTTTTCATTTAGTAAGTCTTAATCATATAAAAATAATACTTCCAATTAATCACCATATAAATTAAATGTTCCTTATATTTTATAGGCATTACAAAAAGCTGGTAACTTATTCAGAATAACAAAAATATTAGGTGTTAACATAGGAGGACTACTTGCTGCTGTATATGTATTAAAACGAACAAAAATAGAATATAAATAATTCGAACGACGTACGAATAACGATCATACGATTACAAAACAATAAAATTAGTTAATTTTTTAAATAATTAAATTTTTATTTAAAAATCCATTGGGATTCAGTTTTTTTTTTTTTATACAAATCATCAGAAATAAATTTCTATATATATTTATATTATTGTTAAATTATATAAATAAAAAAGTTATTACCAATGAATTTATAAGAAGAATTTTCTTCTACTGATTTCCATTTCATGTCGCCGCCCTTGAATAAGCCATTCATAGTCTCCATACTTACTATCAAATGTACCATGTTGTAATGATTTCAATTTTAAAGTAAATCGTGGACCTAACTCTTTTAATCTTGGTTTACCTGTCTTCAAATTGAATTCATACCTGTAAAAGTAAATGTTTATTTAATTTTAAACACACAATATACATTTTTTTTGTATTTCTCTTTATCTATGTATCATATCTTGATAAATTACCTATGATGTCTAAAGAAGATGTAATCTCTTTGATTATGAAAAGTTACAACTCTTCTACCTTTAAACTCAGGCTCATAATGGAACAATGCACCTAACATTCTTCCTACAGTATATCCCAAACGAGTTGTAAAATTAGTTAAAATAACTTCTGGCCTATGTTCTGTAATTTCTTTATGATTACGTCTTAATTCAGGTGTGATTTTAACGTTACTCAATTTAAAATATGCTGTTGGTCCATCAGGCAAATGAATTATTAACATTCCATCTAAAATATCATTAAGAAAATCAATGATTATTTGTGCAAAAACTTATTTCTCCATAATTGTAATTTTAATAAAAGAATACTTGGTACACAGCGATCTTCATTGACTATAATTAGGTCTGTAAAATTTCTAGCAATAGCACTTTTAACAATCTTTTTAACACCAGACCGATTTCTATACAAAGATATAGAATTTGGTATCATTCGTGTAAGTTCTCTACCAAAAATTCTAGTCTTCCTTGTTGGATTATCAGAATACGTTATCAAAACCTTAGGCTCATATTCTTTTCTATAATATGCAGCAAATTCATCATGCTCCAAATCAACTTTAACCTCTTCATTTTCCTCATCATCCAAATCACCAACTATTGCGGTTTCATCTTTTTCTCTTAAACTTTCTATTGTATGCGGTACTTGCTTTGGAGCACCCTCTTGTATTCTATTTTTTTTTGCTTCCTTTTTAGCTTTTGCTTTTTGTTTTAACAATTGCTTACACTTTTCGTACCTGACAGCTTTACATTTAATATGATTGAAATTACTTTCAGTTGGCAACATAACCTCTGCAGATTGACTCGATGTACTTGAATTATTCTCTTCCACTGCATTTTCTTTCTCCTTTTTAGGACGACTTAGAGGATTCTTTTTCAAATTTTTAATCTTCATTTTGTACTTTTTTATTTAATTCGTAAATAAAATAAATGTTTTAATACTCTCTACAAAACACGTGCTACGCATGTATACACATCTAATCTAATTTAACCTAAACTACTACACGACGCACTACAGACTAAGTATGTATTTCAGTATGGTAATATTTGAATGATGCTTAGTGCTTGATACTAGTGTTGCTTAAAATTATTTAATATCACTTGAAGAAATGTATCGAAAACATTAATTTGTAAAAAGATAGGCAATGAAACAAAATATCTTCCTCCAAAAGGATATCTCGGCAGGAATAGATTATCTGGTACTTGATTGGTTGAATCAATCATTTGAAAATTGAATCTGATTGGTTGATTTTCGAGAGCTTCGATTAATTGAATCGTAATAGATGAAGATTATTTCGAGCGATTCTTTTATATAAATATTTAATCAGTTTCTTTTAAGAAACAAATATAGATATCGTCTTATACAGAATAATATGAAAACTTTTTATATATGAAATATATATCATTAAAAATAACTAACAGTTGGTTTGAAAAAGTTATCATTGTCGGTAGATATATTTCATTTCCAATAATATAAGTGCAGTTTGAAGTTTAATCATTTAAATTTTAAGACTATCCATAATACAAAAAATACTGCTATGGAGAAAAGAAATAAATATAGAATATAATAATTATGACCAGCTTTAGCTAATCGTAAGACACGTCCAACAGATGCACCTAATGATCCACTAGTTCTTTCAAAATCATCATCCTAAAATAATACAAATTATACATATATTTGAAAAAAGGGGTAACTGTTTAAGTAACATAAAATAATGATAAATATCTCATGAGTTACAAACCATTCCACGTAAGACTTTTTCTTGATATTTCACTTCGGTTCCTATATCAATTGATAATGATTTAAGAGCATTAATTTTAGTACTTAATTCTTCTGTCATCTTTTCATTTTCATCTTCGAAAGCATTGTGACTAGATGTTGTTGGCAAAGGCTCATAATTATAACCTCCTATAAGGATGACCAAGTTAGAATGAAACAATACTTGCACATTTGCATATTTAGCTTTACTCACCCGAATGGGATCTTCGCATTTTATTCGCTATTTTGAAGCTTTAAGAATAATGTATTTAATTGTGGAATTATTTAATTATTTTATAGATTTATAACACAAATATTGTTGATATCGGATGCAACATCAATGTAAGAAAACTGTAAAGATGATAATTGTTACTAAATATTAAATAATAATCAACAATTAACTTAATACAATATATATTTAACCATCATTTACCTGCATTTATATAAATTCAATTATTAATCACTATGTTACTATTATGATTCAATCAACTTTGAAGGTTATATATCATTATTCTACTCATAACTTAATATTTACTTCATTCACTAGTGAAATCTAAAGAAATGATAACAAATGCCATTAAACAACAACTTGTAGATATATAATCAACAAATAACAGAAATGTCAGCAAGTTAGATCAAATTTCGCGTCATTGAACACGTTGGCACATTTGGGCAGATTTGCAATTTACTATAGCTGAGAAATCTTCCTTTTAGAGTATGAAATAGAAATATTAATATAAATAAAAGATTCTCTAAATGACATTATTATCAAATTATGATATCAAAAATTATCTTGGTTTATATAATATTAATATTTATCCAAAAGCAGATTTTGAACGCAGTTGAAAATGTTTTTAAGATAATCATAGAAATTGGATTAAATCATTAGTACCAACTGAAGAAAATTTCCAGGAAGCACCCTAGATTTAGGAAGAAACAGAGTATAATTAATATTTAAGTTAACAATCCAACAATTGTTTAAATATTATAAATCTAATAACTTTGACAAATTAAATATTAAATAATATAATTTTATTAATTTATTATTCGTATATTTATTTAAACATTGTATAACACCGAATACTTATTAGATATAAAATAACTTTACTTTAACATTTCAATACGATTAAATTTTGAATTCGAAGTCGAGTGCATTTAAAATTAACAAAAACGCACATTTGAATGACTTTGACTAATCGAAATATTAATCGAAATAGTTTTCTCTTGTATTCGGCGAATAAACAACGAAGCTCTATCTTTCTAAATGTGACACTTAAAAATAAATACACTCACTAATTTTATAATTATTTAAACAATCTTTAATGAACGCAGAGTATAATAAACTAATATTTAGACAATAGTACATTCGTTTAAACATTAAAAAGACGAAAACGCGCACAGGACTTAAAATAATTTTAATTTAAAATTTCGGTACATAAAAATTTTAATTTCGGGTTAGCTGGTCTTGTGTAATATAAACATAAACGCGTTTTTTCTTAGCTTTGACAGTTACCGAGTTAGTTTTCTCTTGCACTCCGACGTGTGTACATCACACTCTCTATTCCTAATCACGAGAATTTATAAATTAATATCCTTGGTAATTTTATAATTATTTAAACAATCTATAATCTATGCGGGATAGAATAAAATTATATTTAAATAACAGTATATTTGTTTAAACATTAAAAAGACGGAAACGCGGGCGAGACTTAGAATAGTTTTAATTTAAAATTTCGGTACTTAAAAATTTTCATTCCATAGTTGGCCTTTTTTTTTTATTAACATATACGATCTCTTTATTGACTTGGATGATTACTGGATCAGTTCTCCTTTGTCCTTTGACGAATAAACATCAAAAGTCTTTCAGGGTGTCTTTACTCCAAGGATCAATGAATATTTAAGGTAAATATATTTTTATATTGCACGTTTGTTTAATAATTTATACATTTTCTTATTGTAACAACGATAATAATAATTATATTTTTATTATTTTGTTTCAGAACATCATTGCAATCGCCTGTAAAGTAATGATGTAATCGAAAATTTGTATCGCTTAAATAAGAATATCGCGAAGTAGGAGAAGTATTCGTTCGCATGCGTTTCGCAATTTAAACGTTTTTGATTTAAAAGTTTTTGCATCGTCTGCGTGCAATGCAGTCGTTAGAGTGTTTGTTCGCAAAGTTTATTAATTTTTTAACAGTCGCACAGATTGTATTTATAAAAGACAGTAGTAGTTCGCGAAGTAAATTCAGTGACCGTTCGTTAAAAAATAACCATCGCGTAATAGAGTCAGTGCATCATTGAAGAGATTCTTGATCAACTTCGATGTCGTCCTACCTAATTTTCAACCACATACGAATCATCCACTCTCAATTTCGATCTGAACGAATGTTTTGGAGCCATCGCAGAACTTCTTAAGTAGTGAGTGCATTTTTAAGTCCCTCTAATCTCTTAACCATGTCGGGGACGAAAGGTTCAAATTGGCACGGGTGATTGGTTGTAATTAATTAGTAGAAAAGCATTAAGTGACCACAAGTAAATTTCTTCGGAGATTTACTCGTGAATGGTTTCTTATTTTTGATTTATTTATTAGATCAGGATAGGATCTTTTTGCTCAAACGCGTTTATAATTATTTGAAGTTTTGAATATTTTAATACATGTTTAAATATTTTACTCGCGCGGAAATAAGTAAAGAATTACTATTCATAAGATCTAATAAAGAATGAGCAAAAAGATATTCGCCATTCTGGATTACAAACGAAACTGTGGATGATTTTATTACAATAATTAAAATATTCGCTTATAAGAAGAAACATCTAAGGGTTTGCTTTCTATTTTTAAATAATTGTTAATTAAATATTTAATCAATTTAAATTGATAAAAGAAAAGTCTCGATGGAGTCATTGGTTTTGAAAGAGAAAAATCGAATAGAATGATTGCTAAAAAACAAAGAGACGTAGTCCGTAAGCCTAGATGATAAATTAATTAATTTTTAGCTCAGGATTTTCAGCAATTAATATACTATTATCTAATTTCTAATTTTTTTATAATTAATATCTAATTTCTCCCACACTGTGAAAAATTATCTCTCGAAAAGATAATAATAAGTTTTCAGATACGTTAGGATTGTGTTAGAGTTTTCTTTCATATCTTACAATTTGGTCGTCACAGTTAAAAAAATCACAAATCAAATTTTGTCGTTACAGTTTTAGAGTCATATTTTTCTTTTTTAGTTATGTTTTCAATTATATTTTCAATTATGTTTTTAATTACGTGTTTAAGTACGTGTTTAATTATGTTTTTAATTATGTTATTAATTATGTTATTAATATGTTCTTATTAATTATAATTTATAAGCCTTAGGTAGGACTAATTAGATGATGCAAGCTGTTTCAGCATCGTGCAGAGCTGCTTCTCCTTTCGTTTTTTTCTCTAGCTCTCTTATCTATTTATATATATTTATTTTCTATTTTATTTATTTTCTATTATATTTATTTTCTATTTGTATTCTATATATATATATATATATATATTATCTTCTATTTTATATAATTTTTTCTTTGTCTTATTTTCTCGTTATCTTTTTCTTTTTCATTATAGATCATCGAGGGATAGGTTCATCTGCAGTCGGATGCGTCGTCGCATGGCTCGATCCATCATCGATTTTTACGCGCGAATACGGGAAGAATAGGAAGAACAATGGCGCGTGGGCACAAGCGTGAGTGTTCTCGGGCGCGATTAAACTACATTTGATTGCTCGTATCGAAACCCCGAATTGTAAAGTCACCGTTTTTCTAACACTCACGTGGGTGTTCGAGCGTGATTAAAGGTCTTACCGTGGACTTCGTTTTATTTCTTCAAAATTTCGATTATATCACTTCGCGAATTTGAATTTAACAGTAGAATCAACGTTATTGTAACATACATGTGAGTGTCGCGAATGCGATTAGTAGTCCTTAAAGAGTGCGCTTTGATTGTTCGAAATTCATAAAACACAAATTCAGTTGTGCTTAATAATCCGTTATGTCTGAAGCAGACGGTGCAAATGATGGAGTTATCTGTAAAAGGGGTCTCTGTAGCTAAGTCTACATATCTTCTGTTAGTTAAGAAGCCATTGCACCCAAAACGGAAAGGTATCGCGGATTGGGATCGCGGATTTTAGAGTAATGTAGAGTCAACCTTAGCCCGTGGGTCTCCACATGCAGCAACTTCTACGTAGTGAGACCAGGGTCGGTATTACTTGCAAACTCTAATTATAAATCCTTTAACGCAAGTACTACCGAGCAAATGGTTGCATATTTTAAGATTTTTCCAATATCTTTTCAATCTAATTCCAACTAAACATTAACGTACTCCGCTTTTACATTGCTAAGCAGTTCAAATAAATAAATGATTAAATATAGTAGTATTCTAAAATAGTTTCTTAGAGAAATGGACAGATAACTTTTCTATCGTACTTATATTCACAATCATTTCTATTTATTTTCATCACCATTCCTTTGGGAAGTATTCTTCGGTCTGGACCTTTTAGTGGATCTCCTTCTTTCGGTATGCAGAAATCAATCTGGATTTTGATATTCTTGGTTTTATTCCTGATGAAGCGACTTTCGTGAATGTTGACATAGTTTAAATTTGGGAGGGTATAACCAAGGCAAGCTTATAGGTCATTACAATTGCGCATAGTGAAGACAGTGTTTCCCTATTGCTGTTGTAGTTCATATTTTGTCCATACTTGTCGCTGAAATCAGACATGCTTCGAGTAAAAGGTGATGAACAGTCTTAATTCAACTACACTTAAATACATGTATATATATACGCAAGCATTGTACCAATGAATCGTTTGCTTTTGCTTAACAAATGTGAATATTAATATAACATAAGTTCTGTTTTGTATGAAGAGAAAACACTATGCTTCCAGTACGTTATACACGAAATTTATTTCTCAGAGGAATTTGCATAATATATTTATCTGCTTTTCTCAGTTTCTATGTTCAGATTCCAGGTATGTACTATACTAAATTAATGAAATATGATAGCATTGGACGATAATTAAAAAGAAGACAAATATCAAAATAAGGATATAAAATAAATAATTTCAATTTATATATACTTAGGGTTATACGGTAATAATGGAATCTTACCTGCTAGAACGCAGTTAAATTTTGAAAGTCATGCATCATTAAATGAAAAATTTTCACAAAAGCCAACATTGATATGGTTCGCTCCATATTTAGGTTTAAATGTAGAATATATGCTTGATTTATTATCACTTATTGGAATAACACTTGCTTTTTTGGGGTAAGTCAGAAAATTTTATTTAGATTTTATATGATTTGGATAAGAAGTATATGTTAGCATTATTTATAATAATTATTGTTATTGTAAATATTATTATTATTACTTCTATTATTACCTTTTAAACAATCATTTTTGTAATCAAATCTTCGTTGTTTTCTTACAGATTTGTTTCACAAAAGTTCTGCGTTTCACCAGTGTTTATAACACTTTGGCTATTATATTATTCTTTATACCAGATTGGTCAAATATTTATGAAGTTTCAATGGTAGGTCTTAACAAAGTTTTTACTTTTTTTTATTATGAATCTCCATAAATTTTATAGAATTTTTAAATAATTTAACAATTTTTTGATTGTTTTGTAGGGATTCTCTTCTCTTGGAAACAGGATTTCTATGTATCTTCATAGCACCCCTTTTATATTCTCCACATAATAAAAGAAGTACTCCAAGTGACACTGTTACTTTTTGGACTGTACGTTGGTTACTCTTTCGACTGATATTTTCTACTGGTGCTGGAAAACTCATTTCTCAATGTCCAAGCTGGTGGAAATTGAATGGTAATATTTGTATAAACTTTAATATGAAAGAAATTTTGAAATAATATCTTATATGTTAAATGCTTTTTACAGCTTTGAACACGTATTTTGAGTCTCAATGTATACCTACTGCTTTAGCATGGTATGCACATCATTTGCCAGTTTGGATTCTTCGGTTCACTACTGTTTTAACAAATGTTACGGAGATTGTTATTCCTTTCTTATTCTTCTTTCCAAATAGATTAGTAAGATTAACAGCTTTCTATCTTCAGGTAAACATTAATTTTATTTTTCATAGTAAAGTATATAAAAAATTATAGTTAAAAAATGTTATTATAATTGTAGGTATTACTACAAGTTTTCATTATTATAACAGGAAATTATAACTTTTACAATTTTTTGATAATATGTTTATGTATCTCTTTACTGGACGATCGTATTTTTAATGGTAGAAAACATAAAAATAATAATGTCCTTGACAAAAGATCTGTACTTTTGTGCATCATGATATATACAAGTATATTATATGGTATGTGTGTGTATTACAACATACATATCTCAAATAATTGGACTATTCAAGCTGAAATTGGTAAATATATTTTTATATGTGTACATAACATATTAAGTACTTCATAAAACTATCTTATATTATTTCTTTTGTATTATTATTTAACTCTCTATTTCTAGCATTTACTCAAAAGCAGTTTAATAATTTTCTGTCATATATAATTCCTATTTCTATTTATATTGGTATTGCATCGCTTGGATACATAATAATAAATACAATGAAAGACCTGGTAATTATCACTAAAGGAACACAGAGTAAAGCAATTGTTAATCTTGTTACAATTTTATACACTGCTGCTGTATGTTTAATTTTTACTCTTAGTATTGTAAGTAAAAATAATATATACCTAATGCATATATTACTATTTCGAATTGTCATAAAAGTAATGTAGAAATGTATATTATTTAGGTACCATATGTTACATTGAATCCACATTACAATTTATCAATACCATCTCAGATTCAAAAGCTTTACACAAATGTTGAACATCTCCATCTTGTTAACAGTTATGGATCATACAGACCTATGAAAGGTATTGCTGGAAGGCCAGAAATAATTATTGAAGGCAGTAATACTATTGATGGGTCTTGGAAAGAATATGAATTCCTATACAAACCAGGAAATGTAAATAATGTATTACCATTTGTAGGTGAGTTATTTGATAAATATTATACTACATATATATATATATATATATATTAATAATTATATAGTTATTAATATATAATAATTATTAATATATATATATATATATATATATCAACTATTTAAACGTTTTAGAAACTTTTATTTAGTGAGTTGTACATAATCAAAATTGATTAGAATAGATAGATCAAAATTGAAAAATATATTTCATTTTATTTTTATTATATTCTACCTATAGCTCCTCATCAACCTCGTCTTGATTGGCAAATGTGTTTTGCTGCTTCAAGTACATATCATCAAAATCCTTGGTTAATGTCATTAGCATTTCGTCTTTTAAATGGACAGCCCGAAGCATTGGCTTTAATAAATACTGTGGAAAATCCATTTAATACTAAGCCGCCAAAGTACATAAAAGCAAGTCTTTATCATTATTACTACGTGCCATGGAATGATACGTATGTACTTTTACAATGTATAAATTGTATACAAAACGGAATTGAGAAGATAATTTTTATGTTATGAATTTTTACAACTATTAGAAATCGTTATTTTTTAATTACAGACAAAGCAATACGCAAGCTTGGTGGACTAGAGAAAAAGTGGAGGAGTATATGCCAATATTTGCTAGAGATCATGTACCTTTAATAGAATATTTGTCAAAAAAGAAACTTATTCAAGAAAAACCAACTTTAAAAATTACCAATGGAAGACTTAAATCAACATTAGATGCTATTAGACATTTAGTTTCTAAGGTTGAAGCAAGTTTATTTTTGTGGGGAGTTCATACAGCAGGCTGGGGAATAATGCTCTTATGATTTAAATGCTATTCAAAATAATTTTATTTAAAAGAAAAAATAATTATATAACTTTTCATAAGCTATCACAATAATTATTAAAATATTGTCATTACATAAAAATAATAATTATAAAAATGAACTCATACTCAAAATATTAATGTATATAGTTTTTGATAAGTTTTTGTGTTTATTTAGTATGCACAAAGTAAAGCAATCATATTATTCTACTATGCAATATATTTCTGATTTATGAAATGGGTTTCTATAATTACTTTACTTTTAGAAGTCATTAGTATGATTAAAATTTGTTTATATTGTATGTATGTATTATTTGGTTATATCTGTTGTATTTAATTAACTAGTTTATCTAATTTATACTAAATAAATTATTACATATTATAGTATTTTTATTTTCTCAAATGAATTTTGTTTATAAAATGTATATAGATTTAAGTATACAGTTCATTCAATTGAAAAATTTATATACAATATAACTTTTTTAATATAAGGTGTAAATATATTTATAGATCTACATCAAAACCATCATTTCTATATGATCGAAGGACTTGACTTTATTTTTTCGCAATAGGCACAATCAATTTAATTCACATTAATGGGTAATACCATTTTAAATATTCTTGCAGGTTTTAGTTTTTAATATATTAGCTATTTTAGAAGTGAAATTATTTTAAGTGCTTATTGTAAATAACTTCATTTTTGGTACAAATAAAAAGACAATACATAAATCTAACCATTTAGAATAGAAACATAATCACATTTAGGAATATAAATTTTGGAAAATTTATTTTACTTTTCATGATATCAAGAATATAGGAAACTCGTTATATTCGTACACAAAAATACATCTGGAAGATTAAAAAATTTTTCCTAATATTCAATTAAAATAGAAATTACTTCGTTATTATAAGTTAAAATCATTTGATAAAACCATTATTTTGTATCGTAAACTTAAAAGCTTACAAATCTTTCAAGTAATGCTTGGCATATTTGTATCACAAATAAATTTTTCTGAAGGTTTTTCTTTAATTCTTTTTGCTCTAAATCTATTTTTTTGTACTGCTTTTCTCTTATTACATACTACATTTTTAGATTCTTCTAAAGATGATCCTGTTGTATTATTCATTTCTTCTAATGATAAATAAGACATACATATGGGATATTTAAATAATTGTATAAGTCGTCTTTTTAATAGTTCATATGCTTTTTCTGATTTGTAAGCTTTTTCAATATCTTTATAATTCGACTGAACGTTATTAGGTATATTTTCAATATCATATATATTCTTTAATGTAACTAAATTCCTATAAGTTGATAAAGTTATATAATTCGGTTTAATTGCTACGCCTAATACATTAACTAATTCTTTTTTATGGTCCATAGGTGATACCCAAAGAGAGGATTCACCAAATGATTCATAAACTGTTGTTTTTACTTTATACACTAAATAATTATTTTTGTTAATATAATTCTTTGGTTGTGTGAAGTTTAATTGATTATTTACATTTAAGCTACAAGATTTATCTCTTTCTGTACTATTAGGGAAATCATTATTTTTATGAACATTAAATTTTTTATGTATATTACTAATAGACTGAATAATTCTCTGCTGTTCACATTTATCCTTCTTATTACAATATAAAGTAGAAATTTTATTGAATTG